ATGTGTAGATTTAGTTTACAAAAGTATTCTAATTATCTTAAGAATTGAATTATTAAAGAAAAAGATTTATAAAACTTTTTATATTTTAACTGAAAGGTTACTACTAGCTTAAACTGAGCCACCTTTATTTTAGCTTAACTTAAAGAGATCAATCAACAATTTAAGTCAAGACAAGTTAACTTATAAACTAATTTATTTAACTTGCATTTTTTTTTGAAATAAAATTTTGTTAAAAGAAATATTTTCTATTAAGAGAAGTATTTTTAAAATGATCTTTTTTGAGAAAAATGTTTTCAGAATAATTTTTTTTGAAAAGAATAATTCCAGAATAATTTTTTTTAAGAAAAATATTTTTAGAATAATTCTTTTAAGAAAAATATTTTCAGAATGATTCTTTTTAAGAAAAATGTTTTCAGAATGATTTTCTTTACAAGAAATATTTTTAAAGGTATGTTTTCAAAAAAAATTACTTTTGAAGTGATTTACTTGAAGGGAATCATTTTTGTGGATTTTTCTTTAAAGAAATTACATCTAGAGGCATTTCTTTAAAGGAAAATTTAAAGGAAAATACCTCTGAAATGATTTTTTAAAGATTAATACTTCTGGAGTATTTTAATAAAAACTACTTTCAGAGGCATTTTTCAAAGAAAACATTTCTAGATATAAATCTAGTTGCATATATTAATACTCTAAAATTAAGAGTAACTTACACTAATTCTAAGTTTGAATAAGCATTTTGCATTTTAACAGTTATATAGAAATAAATATTAAAATGAATTAGATGTTATTAATATGAAATATATTAGAGATTATATATATTATATTGAGCAAAGATCATTTATATATTTAATCATACTATTTTGGATTTAGGTTCTTATGAGATTTAAAATTGGAAAACCTCATACGTATTCGGTTATTGATGAAATCAAATCTTTATTTTATGTATTCATGCACATAGCTTGTGATGGAATTGTTAGTTGGAAAAAGCATTCGGATTTGTCAACAAGCATCGCAATAAAGTACAAATGTTATGTTCTGCCCACAGGAATTTAATAGACATTTGACCAACTATGCTCATAACGAATTTCACACACATTTATCAGAATTTCACAAAAGAATTTTTCCATATGATAACGAGCTTGAAAGCAAGAGAATTATCGATTGAGGAAATCATTGAAAATTTCGAAAATTAGTTAAATTGACTAATAGATATTATTTGCAAAAATATTATTAATGTCTTTGTAATGAAAAATTATGTAATAATAAATACTGTATATGTAAATAAATAGTTGTTAATAATGACCTTTAAAGTTAGAGAAATACTATATTAATAATTTGATCATAGTTTTTTATATCAAATTTAATATTACTAGAAACGGGAAACCGTTGTAAAGTCCGATATCGCCACGTGATATTATATGTGATTAATCATGATTGTCTTACTATTTAAGGTTAGTTCAAATTTTGGAATTTTTAAAAATGCTCTTACAATCTTACAATTCTAAAATTTTTTTTCTCACAAACTTTAAAACAAAATAATGACAACCAGTTTCTTTCCACAATTATCCCGAAATTTTATTAATATTTAGAGGATGATGAGTATTATGATGTTACAATTGAAGTAGGACAAGATCCTGAAGTGAAAATATTTCGGACGCATATGGTTATTTTAAATTATCGTTCAACATTTTTTCGTAGAAATTTATCTACAAGCAAAAAGAATTCCGATGGTAATTTAACTCATATAAACTTACCAAATATCTCTCCCAATATCTTCCAAATTATTTTAAAGTAAGTTAAACCAAAAAGGTTACGGTGTTATGTTTATTTAAATTTTTAAAAGTTATGCTAATTTGGATACTTTTTGAAAGATATATTTATGGCGGAATACTTTCATTGGATGGAGTAGATCCTTCAGACATAATTAACGTAATGGTTGCGGCTGAAAGACTTAACTTGCATGAAATTGTTAATTATTTACAATCATATTTGATCAAAAGCAAAGCTAAATGGATGGAAGAGAATTTCTCTCTTATTCATAATAAAATTTTTCAACATAAAAACTTCATCGAACTTCAAACTTTTTGTACAGATATTATTTCGAGATATCCTGAAAAAATATTCAAGTCATTTGATTTCACCGCTATTCATGAAAATTCCTTAATTTCTTTAATTAAACGAGATGATTTAAAAATGGAAGAAATTGATGTTTGGGAAAATATATTGAGATGGGGACTTGCACGAAATCCTACTTTACTTCCAGAACCCGAAACTTGGTCGGATGATAATTTCAAAGCAATGGAGCAGACTTTACAAAAATGTTTGCCTTTAATCAGATTCTTTCAATTATCATCAAAGGAATTCTTGAAAAAGGTGATGCCTTATCAAAAATTATTTAAACCTCAGCTTTATAAAGAATTGTTAAAGTATTATTTGGATGATAATAGTCAAATAAATTGGACAATCTTACCGGCAAGAGGGTCAAATATTGATTCGATCATAATTAACAATAAAGTTGCAGCATATATTGCAAGTTGGATAGATGGTCAAGAGTCTAGACATCCTATATTTGGATTCACACCTTATAATTCCTTAAATAATCCTTACGAATTTAAATTATTATTACGTGGAAGTCTTGATCCTACAAAATTTTATGAGCGATGTGGTAATATATCTAAAACTGTGATCATCGTCAAAGTGAAGGGAACTAATGAAATTCTTGGAGGATATAATCCTCTGGCGTGGGAGGATAGCAATGATTATTTAACAACTAATGATAGTTTTATATTTTCCTTCACTTTAAGTAATCTTAAAGACGTTATTTTAAGTAGAATAAAAGATCCTAGATGTGCAATTTTTTTTTCAAATCAATACGGTCCACGTTTCGGCAATGATTTATTGTTTTATCTTAAAAATTCTATGGAAAATACTTCCGGTTTTTGTCAAAATATTCGATATGAGAAGAATATAAGGTCAACTAAAGGTTACTTTGATATAGAAGGATTTGAAGTATTTCAAATTATCGAAAAGATACCGATTTTGACAACAATGAACAATATACCATCTCTTGATAAACGAACGGTTATTCCGCCAATCGAACCTAAACGATCAAACCTAAAAACTGCCAAACCAAGTTTACAAAATATGGATAAAAATAAAACTTCGCTACTAAGCTTATTTACAGGTAATAATATTAATAAGGCAAGCTGATTATCATTTCATTCCTATCACATGCCAGTTCTTTATTTGGAGTTAGTTTTTTTTTTTTTTTTACCCGTAATAAAAATAAAAAAAAAATTCTAGAATGTTTAAATGTGAATTATTAAACCTCTTTTATTCTTGTAAGTTAAAAACTAAGGTTTAAAAAAAGTATTATCTCCACATGACATAAAATTTATTAGAAGTTATATGATAATTCATTATAACCTTCCCCTTTTCCTTAGACCATCTGCGTATATAACGCTTAAATTCCCTAGTATTAAGACTACAAACCAAAAAGTTGAGATGAAAGTATTTTAATTTCACCACACAATTCTCCAAAAAGTTTCGATATTCATCAATGTTGCGAATTAGATTTGAAAATTGTAACGCGTTAATTCGACGAGGTAAAATCTTTGCCAAATCAACGATGAACCTAGTATTAACAACAGAAGTATATTCCACTGGAATTATCAAGTGAAGCTCTTCAAGATTTGGGGAATTGTCAAGGATATTAAATAGATATGGTATATCATCATCCGCAGTAATTTGTGTAGAAAAGAAGCAAAGATTTCTATGATTTTCACCAATTGATGTTAAAATATCATTATTTATGTACGCGCATAGGAGACTAAGTGCTTTCAAATTTTGTGTCAACGTTTTGTTTTGAATTATTCCTTGAAGTGGATTCGGTTGTCCGATAAGTTCATTGTCACAGAAAACATTTATTAGCGTTAAAGACCATAATTTTGGAAATTCCGCCGAAGCAATCCATTCAAAATTTTTGAATGATATGCACATATTTTCCAAGGTCACGCGTTCCAAATTTTTACATTTGCCGAAAAATTTAAATGTTTCATCGTTATTTACATGCATTCCACTAAATGTTATAATCTTTAGAGAATACGCGTATATTTCCAACGATGAGATCATTTCAAAAATAGTTTCTTCATAATTTAGTCTCATCAAAATATTCGCTCCAATAAGCCGCACATCTTCAAGTTTTTTCTGGTTTTTCAATAAGGTTACCACCTGGTTTCTAATCAACTGGAAAAATCGTTCTTGAATATTTATCGTTTCTAACTCTTTGCAACTTGCCGATAAAATATTCAAAATAGGAAGCTTATAAGCTAACTTTCCATATTCTAAATATTTTAAATTCGCAACCAAGTCTTTCCCCAATATTAAGAAATCATGAAGGATATCTTCAATCTTCATAATTACATCATAACATTTTGTAATCCTTGAAAGATCCAATTCCAATCCATCATCGTCATCATCATCATCAAATTCAACATCATTGACAAATTCTCTAACATCTTTGCTTTTGAAATTAATTTTAAGCCATTTGATGCTTGCCCTGCTTATTCCTAAAGTTGTCAATATAATTGAAATTATAAACAAGATTTTCCTTAATCCAAAATCTTCTGGCGATTCTTCGTTAGTAGGTATCAACGATGTCTGATGGGTTCGTTTTAATAAAACATTGTACTGCTCTTCCATATAATCTACAAAGGAATCAGCATCATCTTTATTCATTTTATAATATGTTGAGACAATTCTAAAAAGGTTATCGTAATCCAAATGGGTAATGAAACTAGGATACATAAATTTAGTATCGAGCATTTTTTTTTTCATACAATCTGCCTTATTCTTCCATTCTAGAACTTTGTTTTTTTTCAGGATTGGTATGAATACGTTTAAGATTTTGGAGTGATTTGTTAAATCATGAATATTTTCTGTAAAGGGATTTTTCCACAAATATTTGATACCGTTTCCGCACCAAGAGCGATTTACACGAATAATAGAATACAACGTTTTAGTATCTTCAATAAAACTAAAAACATGTTGTAAAGTTTCATTTGCTAGCTTTGAAATCATATTTTTTTTTTTTTTTTCGTTTTTGTTTATGATTAGAAAGGAGTAGTGAGAAGAAAGAAAATTGTTTCAAGTTAAAACTCGGAAAGATTTTTCTTAAATGTTTGTGTCGCGTGATATTTCGCGATCGTATAAAAATAAATGATCGGCGTAAACATCTTTTCCTATTTTGTATCCAAATACATCATTCGCGTTTTTTTTTTTTTCACACTACATACGTATTACAAATATGAAAAATGTTATTCAAGGCAATCTTTTTTTATATATAAAAAATTTCGTATTTACAGGATTCTCACTTGAAAAACAAAAGGAAATGCCGACTTCTTGGATCAATTTTAAAGAAATTCTTAAAAAACTGCTGGCACGGGATCATCTCTTTGATCTTTTTTTTATTTTAAAAAAAAAATTTAACATCAAAAATGAAAAAAATTAAAGATTTGATCGTTTGGGCGAAGCAAAAAGATCAATTGCTGAAGATAATTAGAAAGCTTTGATACATTTGTCGCTTCGAAAGATTTTAATATCCCTTAAAATAATTTGACAATGGAATGAAATAAAATAATTAATTATAACAATAATAATAAATTAAATAAAATTAATGCCATCAAAATTTTAATTTTCATTTGAATATTATGGAATCACCAAAATAGAAACCGGCTAGTATTTTTTTTTTTTTTTTTTTTTTTTTTAAAAAAATTCATGTTTAAATTATTTATTAAATTTTGTTGAGTCCAAGTATATATATTATCCTTTCCTGAAACTTGGTACCCAAACTTTTCGTAACTCTTCGATAACAAACCAAAAACCGTAACGAATGCTAAAGTGAAAAGAACCAAATGAAATTCTTGGGATATCATCCAAAGATATGAGAATCAGTTATAGACATGAAATTTTCATTTAATTAATGGATGAATAAAAAGGTTACGATCACGAAAATGGGTCATATGATTGACTGGAATGGCTAATCACCACCAAGTATTCTGGGAACTTAGACTTTTTTCGGAATGCGAAATCATATTCGTCACCTTTTATTTGTCACATGGTTAATTTCTTACTGCGGCAAAATGTCACGTGGGGTAGAATTTTTGGTGGTAAATGGAATGGCTACATTAAAAAGGCATCCGATTAATTTTAAACATATTTTGCAAAGTATTTTGAAATTATTTTTTGACAAAAATTAGAATTAGAATAATTCAGGCCAAAATAAAAATTTTTTTTTGTTTACATTAAATAGTAGAAATTTTTTTTTTTTTTTTTTTTTCCTTTTCAATTTTTATACTTTATAAATGAAACCCCAATTTTTTTCACAATTATCCGAAAATTTTATTAATATTTTGGAGGATGACAAGTATTATGATATTACAATTGAAGTTGGAATAGATCCTGAAGTGAAAATATTTCGAGCTTACATGGTTATTTTAAATTACCGTTCAGCTTACTTTCGTAGAATGTTATCTACAAATGAAAGGAACAATGATGGTGCTTTAGCTCACCTTAAATTACAAAGTATCTCTCCTAACATATTTCAAATAATTTTAAAGTAAGTCTTTTAAGAAAAGTAAAAGAATTATCGTTATTAAATCTCATTAATTTTTTTTTACAATTAATTTTTAAAGATACATTTATGGAGGTATTCTTTTTTTGGATGAAGTTAAATCTTTAGATGTATTTAATATCTTGATTGCTGCTGAAATGCTTAAATTACAAGAAATTGTTGATTATTTGGAATCATATTTGATCAAAAGCAAAGCTAAATGGATGGAAGAGAATTTCTCTCTTATTTATAATAAAATTTTTCAACATAACAGCTTCATTGAACTTCAAACTTTTTATACAGATATTATGTTGAAATATCCTGAAAAAATATTCAAGTCATTTGATTTCACCGCTATTCATGAAAAATCCTTAATTTTTTTAATTAAACGAGATGATTTAAAATGGAAGAGATTGAAGTTTAGAAAAATATATTAAAATGGAGTCTTGCACAAAATTCTACTTTACTTTCAGATCTAGATAATTAGTCGAATGATAACTTTAGATCGATGGAAAGTACTTTACAAAAATGTTTGCCGTTCATTAAATTCTTTCAATTATCATCAAAAGATTTTTTGGAAAAAGTGACACTATATAAAAAGCTTTTTAGATCTCAATTATCTCAACTTTATATAGATTTAATAAAATATTATCCAGATGAAGAGGTCAATAATATAGTTTTGAAGATTCAACCAGCAAGAGGCTTAAGTATTGACTTGAAATTGATTATAAATAAAATAACAGCATATATTGCAAATTGGATTGATAGAAAAGAAACAAATCATCCAATATACAGATATATACCTTATAATACACTTAATATTCCTTATAAATTTAAATTACTTTTCCGTGAAAACTGGAATGGATTTTCTTCTAAAAACTTTCATAAACTATGCAACAATAAACCAAAAACTGTAACAATTGTTAAAGTGAAGGGAACTAATGAAATTCTTGGAAGATATAATCCTAATATATGGGAATCAAGTGATTAAGACAAATGGTCATCAACTGATCTAAGCTTTATATTTTCATTTACATTTATAAACTTAAAAGATGTTGTTTTAAGTAGAGTAAAAGATTACGATCATGCAATTGCATCTAATGTCAGATGTAGTCTAAGTTTTAGCTATGATTTTTTAATCATTAGCAATGAATACAGCGGTTATTTTAATGAATTTTATAAAGTAAATATAAGAGCTATAGAAGGAGAATTCGATATTGAAGAGCATAAGATATTTTAAATTTTTACAAAGACAACACATTAATTTGAAACATTTAATTTAACGGAGCTTAATAATATTAATACTGTTCACATTCCATTAAATAAAATTTATAATATTAAAGTTTTTATTATAAAATCCTATCACTTGTTGTATATTTGTAATGATGAAATTATGGGCTTTAGACTACATTATCTGAAAAATAGTTTTCACTTTAAGATCTAAATTTATATTTTTCGACAAATGAGAACTAGATTTATAATTTAGGTCAAAGATCCTAATTTGACAAGCTGAAATTATAATTTGCAATCTCACCAAACTTTTTATATAGTGTATCATATAAAAAAATGCAAATCAATTTGTTATAAATATTTTTTTTTTTTTTTTTAAAAAAAAAAATAAATATTTAATCTAAAGAATTTTATTATCTGAAAATTTTGGAAAATGACAATATGATATTACAAATTGAAGCTGAAAAGACTCTGAAATGAAAATATAGTTATTTTAAAGAAACAACAACAGCACTTTTAGTTCATCTTAAAATATCTCTTAAAGCTGAAACGCTTAAATCATGAGAAATTGTTGATTACTTGCAATCTTATTTAGTTGAAACAAATCTGAATGGATGGAAGAGAATTTTTATTTTATTTGTAATATGATATTTCACAATAATACATCTCCCAACTTCAAACTTTTTGTATAAATATAATGTCAAGATACCTTGAAAAATAATCAATAGATTTTCAAAAAATTCTTGATTTCTTTAATTAAGCGAGATGATTTAGAAATGCAATGATATTTAGGAATATGTATTAAAGTGGAGTCTTGCGTAGAATTCCAACTTTACTTCCAGATCCAGATATTTAATCAGATGATGATTTGATTTTAAAGAAATGGATAAATACTTTGCAAAGAATTTTACCTTTAATTAAACACTGAAAGAATTCTTGAGAAAGTTGATTCCTTACCAAAAGCTTTGAATGTTTGAGATTTATTTAATTACCATTTGGATGATAATAATAATAAGATAATTTCAATTTTTTAACCGACAAGGAGAAGTTTAAATATTGATTTAAAACTTAATTACTGATGAATTATTTCAAGTTAGATTGATAAGAAAGAAATATACAGATGTATACTATTGATAATACATATGAATTTAAATTACTATCCCGCAAAAGCCATTTACTACTGAAATTTTTCATAAACTTTACTTCAATAACTGAAAGGAACTAATGAAATTATTGGAGATAATCCTATTATATGAGAATCAGATGAAAACAAATGGTCATCAACTGATGAAAGTTTTATATTTTTATTCACATGTTGAACTTAAAAGATGTTATTTAAGTAGAGTAAAAGATACGACCATGCAATTGGATCTTCTGTCATCAATCATGATGCATATTTCATAGTGATTAAAATTTATTAGAAAGGATAGTAATACTTGCTTCTGTCATAATAGATATTATGAAAAAAAAATATAAGGTCTAAAGGAAGGAGAATTTAATATTGAAGAACATGAATATTAAAAGGGCAGCAGATTAATATTAATATTGTCAAGATGTGAGATTTTTATCGTGTACATTTTCTAAAAAAAAACATAGCACTAAATTATATCGTTCAATATGCTTTTTCTCACGTTTAATTATGACATGAAATTTTTAAGATCTTCCTTTAGTAATTTTCAATTAAAGTTACAAATTCTTTAAAAAAAGTCTAATTAAGCAAAGATAGAATCTCGAACTTGCAAAATCGATAATAAAACAGAATTATGATTAATCATTTCAAAATCAATTGGATTCTGACTTTACGTCTACTAAAATCTTTCAAACGTATCAACTGAAGCATTCAAGTCTCACTAAGTTGTATTCCTTGCCAATGTGTTGAAAGATTCTTCAACATCATTTAATATTTCATCTCGTTAACATTGATGGTAAGATGCAGTTAACTGGGTTCAAATAAAACTCAGTTATGGTATTTGCCTTTTCAATCACTGCTTTATCTTAATCCTTTCCTAATATCTTCTGATTTATTAGATAGAATCTTTAAATTCCTCATTTATTTAAGATTGCCAATCTTGGATATTCTCAACCTGTAACTGCCGGAAATAACCATGACTGGTCAGGGACTTCTGACTAACCGGGTGGACCGACCGAATTTTTGACCGATTTCGATTAGTTGACCATGTTTTAATTAGTAAACCAAGAATTAAATTAACATCATTTCTTTTAAAAAAAGATAATGCTG